TGGGCTACACAGGACTTCAGTAGTGTCAGTGGAACTTGGATTTAGGATAGGGAAAAAAAAGGTCTTTCACAAAAGCAAGCAGAAAAACTTACTTGGAAACTAACTAAACAGCAGGCAAGGCTATAGGAAATCTGTATCATAGTAAGGGTTTTTCTACCATCTTCCTAGCACAAGAACAAATGTTTGAACTTTGTGCAAATTTTCAATCTAGGTGGTGTTGAGAAGAGTTACAAAAGTCGCAATGTCAACGTCCAAGCACCACTGGTTGCATCCTTCTTTCAGCGTAAGCAGGGGCACAGAGAAAACCTGGTGCTGCTCCCAGTGGCTTTTGAACCTTCAGCCAGAACTTGGCTGCTTCTCTGATGTGGCAGGTACCAAAGCAAGTTGTAAGTACTTATACCTGATATAGCCATCCTTGCCATCCTAGCATCTTGAAGAAACACCTTTGTGGTCTTCAGAGTGAGCGCTCAAATCACCAAATGTTTCAAAACATGCCTATGGTTTAGCCAGTCCAACCTACAACATCTTGAAGTTGTTCTGGATGTTAATTGCTTGTTAAATTTCTTTGAGAAAATACAGAGTGCACAGATTGATGATTCCTGGGTGTTGTCAATATGATGGAATTTTCAATTTTCTGTTCAAAACAAAGCAAACCAAAAAGAAGAGGGATCAGAACACCTTGGATATGGCATATCTGAACTCTTTTGCCGCTTAAGACAATGACATTTTATAGGTTGGAAGGAGTGAAGTAACAGAACAGAACCCTCAGATTTTCTCTCATGAAGCGAGCCAATATGCAGAAAACAGTGAAGCATAGTTGTACTGAAAATTAAAAATACATTTATTCATTGTTTATAATATCTGTGAAACACAAAGAGGACAAAGAGCAGCAGTTTTATGCTTTGCACTCTGATATCCTCAAGAAGGGTAGAGACATAGGAGAAAAAAGCAAATTTAAATTGGGAGATTAAGAATGACTGTAGGCTTCCCAAAAATGAAGAAAAATGTTCAATATATCCCAGTCCTTCAGGAGACCTACCCATCAAGAGGCTGGTAAAGCATCTGGGACTCCTGAAGGGGTGCACAAGGCTTTTGAATGATGAGGGGATGCAGCTATCCCATAACTGCCAATGAACAGGGAGGTAGAGAAGTATATTACCTATATGAGAGAATGAGTAATGCATAGGAAGGGCCCAGCAGTCTAGGCCAATTTCAGGAGTGCGACAGAGCACAAAGTATAGCTCCTCTATATGCAGGGATACTGGATGGAAACTGTTGACCGCAATAACGGCACTTTATGTTTCTATCAGCATGGAGCGTGGGATCGTGGGAGCAAAGCAGTAACTAATGGTGTCATCAGATCAAATCCACTAAGATGGTTTTGCAGAAAGAAGGAAAGTAAGATTCAGTTTTGAAACTGTCTTCTCATGTAATAATTTTGGTGGGGGTTTTTTGTTAGTTGGTTAATAATTTACTTGAAAGAATCTTGAGTGTATTTCCTACTCCTACAGGAATTACAACAAACTGAAGCACTATTTGAAGAGAACATATTATACTGAGTTTGCAGCCCTTTGGGGTAGAGATTATGCACTCGTTCATCTCAAATAGATCTGCAGTTTATTTCTTTATGATTATTTACAGTCATTATAAAATTTGGACTTTATATTTGCCTTACTTTACAATACCACAAACCAGTTTTGTTCACAACAGTCTATATTTACACACCTTATGTTTCCTCAGCACTATAAAGCAACAACATGAAACCAAGCAGCTACAGCCTTTATTACACTCTCCAGGTGATTAAAGTCAATCAGCTTTTGGCCTCATGCCATAATATAACTGGTTACCTTCAGAAAGAGCCACCCCAAATGCACAGGTTGTCATCGTATCGTGATGACCATAGCAGATGTCAATGGAAAAACAGAAGAGCACACAGAAGTTTTAGATAAGCAGTGTTGAAAAGCAGTTACTCTGTCTCACTCCTTGCTGTTTCATAATACAAGAGCATTATCCAGATAAATAAATAAGCTCCAAAAATGCATCTAGTTAAGCATCATAGTTGAAAGAATGATGATGGGAAATCTCTCTCTCCTGCTCCTTTAACTGGCAATGCCAATACATGACTAATAATGCAAGATGGTTTAAAATTAATAAAATACAGAATATGCTTAGTTTTGTTGTCTCCCACAGCTGTTCACTATCACTATATGATATAGTAAGAAGTTTTAAAAGTGTGCATATATAATCCTCCACCCAGAACCTTCCAATAACCAAAACAACTTTCCTGTAAGACATTTTGAAATGAAACAGCCATTGAGTGGAAAGTTAAAAACCAAGCTAATTAAAACATTTTTAAATTGGCATCTTCAAAATTTGTCAATTCTATTTAATAAACTGTTGTTGCCCTCTAGTGTTCAAACACAGCTTGTAAATGTCCCTCCAGAAAGATCCAAACCGGTCACTTAATGATTCCCCATTTGTTCTTAGTCCAACAAGACAAATGGATGGGGAAAAAAAAAAAGAAAAAAGATAAATGTTCAGTACAACTGCCTGGTTTTCTTTGCTCAACCATAAAAAACGATTTTTAATTTAAGAACATTTAAAGTTGTTTGTTTCACTCAAAAATTGTGAAAGACCACTCTGCTTGGCATCCTCACCAAATTAGCGATGGTACCCGTGCACCTCTCTGCTTTACTTCTGCCATTCACCGTGCTTGATGTACGTCACTGTTTGGGTTGGAGAGTGATGTTTCTAATGGCGTTAGCCAAATACACGCCCAGCGCTCCAAATGACCCTGAGATACATCTGCCTGCCTTCTCTTGAATGTATCCCTACTGTACTGTACCATATCAATTAATACCAACCATCCCTCCCTCCAATAAATTAGTTATTACAGCAGAAATGCTCAGTGAGGATTCAGGGGTTATTCTCAACACCTCTCCTGCAATGAGCTGCTGTGATGGCATCAGCCATGGAGGAAGCTTCTCACGACATTGTTAGTTCTTTCTGGAGAAAATTATGGTCAACCTCAGGTCTGCACCTGCATTTTTACAGGCCATGACTGGGCCTTGTACTTATCATTTTATTAACTCATTTCCGAGAAATGTTCCCCCTTGTCATGTTCCTTGACCAGAAACCTTTGAAAATAGCTATTAAAAAAAAAAACCACAACTGAGGTTAAACAAAGTGCAGTCTACAGACAAGCTGATGAACTTGAGATACTTTTATTTTGTAATTTTGTTCACTTTTAAGAGGTTATCCAGAATGTTTTCCATTTAAGCATTGTCAGACTTAAGCAATGTGGAAGACCAGCTGGTTTTGTATCTATAGAGCAATTTTCAGTCCCCACAAAGTAAGAATTCAACTTCTTGACATAAGGAACACTGACTTTTTGATCTTTGAACATGGAATTTTCAGAGAATTTTCTATATAAAGTTATTGTTAGAGCTCTCAGAAAGCTTGCCTTGAGGCCATTTTTGGATCACACCTCCTTCCCACTGCACTGAGCTTGACAGATCTAAGAACCTCTTGGATGTGAGTCACATTTCATATTTTGTAATAGAATTATTTCCTTGTATTCATGAGGCACCCTTCCTTCTCTGTCTTGATGTTCATTGTTGATTATGCTGCCTGCCACATGGATACTTTGAAATCTAGCCTTTCATTCTAAAAACAGGTTTAGACTGGGCATACGCAAAGGGAAATGTGAATAACACAAACTGGAAGTTGTGTAGCAAACAGCAGATGCTCACACGCACTCTCACTCATCTCTTGTTCCAGAGGTGGAGAAACGTATAGAGCAGTTATGCTTATTGCCAGTCACGCAAAGACATGATGTGGGTGTGCTTTGAGAGACAGTAAGAGCTCTGCATGCTCAGGAGGGACAGCAAGCCCAGCACTGCTGCAAGCAGCTCTTGAGAGCCACCAACCTGGCAAAGGAAGGAGGACAATGCCCGAAATGTGAAGATAACGCAACCTTGTTCATCCACTCCTGCTGACTGTAGAAAACTTCTCTGAGGTTGGCATCCTCCTACATAGCCACCGTTTTCCTTTAAAACTTTCTTACTTCACTTCAATCCCTCTAGATGGTCAGCAAATGGAGACCACACCTTTTCTGTGTCCTCTGCTGACAATACAGCTGTTGTCTTTGCTAAGCCCCCTCACAAGTTTCTGCCTGCTCTGCAATCAGGTGTTGAGTCTCAACTGTTGGGGATTTCAGAGTATTAGAACAGATTCTCTCTCGTGCATATGCCAAGTCACTTGGTCATCCTGTTTGTCACGAAAGAGCTTGATTGCAGCTTGCTTTACTTTGATATGATAAAAACTCTTTCTCTCTGACATATATTGCAAAAAACCAACAGGCTACAGGGTGGCGAGCTCTTTGGAAACGGCAAACGTGGTTTTAAGGATAGCTTGTGATGAAGAAAAAAGCAGAAGAAAAAATACTATTAAAGATACATATCCATAAACTACATGTAGCTAAGGAAAGTTAAACCAACTATGTTATCTGTACTACAAGTTTTACTGTTTACACCTAAAACCATTTGGGTGCAAAACTCTACTACCAAGTAACCCTTTAAGGCTACAGATAGAGTAAATAGGCCTGCCAGGCAATTGTGTAATAGGGGCAAATAGCACTGAAAACACTCACGCACTGCATAGGTACTCAATTTATTAGGTGTACTTCTATTCCACTAATCTTGTCACAGTACAGATTAAGCTCTTCAAACACTTTTTCTCCTTAAATATAAGACCTTAATAGCTTAACTTGGATTTTAGTGTTTATTTTCTGGATTTAATAATAAATCAAAAATTATAGACATTACAGTTCAGCATAGAAAAAGCAGTTCCCTTTCCCGCCAAAGCCATCTGCTGCTTTCCCATTAGTGGCCAGAAAACGGAATCCATCCTCTTCTGAGATTTCAATATCTACTGTTCTGTTTCAGACCTGTCCTCTCAAAGATGAGAGATGCTCCTCACAATCTTATTCTCTCTCCTCATCATACATCAGCATACATTCCATTGATCAAGTAATCCAGTCTGGTATAATGCCTCTTCTGAAGAGATTCATGTATTTTCTTCCCTGTCAGTGCAATAACAAGCAAGAAGAAAATCACCCCAAAAAACAAAGCTGCTATAAGGCTGCTTTTTTCTCCCAGCTGAATGACACCTTTCCCTCTCAAAACACTCTTTGGCAAGTAGCTTTCTGAATCAGACGGGTCATAATCCTGAGGGTTGTTTTGGGAAGACATGGGGGAATCACTAGCAGACAGAGTGAAACCTGAAAAAGAGAGGAGGGTGACATGGCTGGTATCGTTGGAAGAGACAACTGTTGGCTCAGGAGGGATGGCTGGAGTTCTTAGCCCTGACGGGACAGTAGCAGATCTGGAATTTGTGGTCACCTCCTTGGTTGTAGAAGTAGAAGCAGAAGTTGTGGGGCTAGAAAGAGGAACATGAGTAATAACAATGCTGGTGGCAGGGATACCGGGTTTAGCTCTAGCGGTTGCAGTAGGTGGAAAGGTAGCTGTGGTGGTGGTGACAGTAGTAGGTTCAGCACCATCAGGATGCAGAGAGGTTGTACGAGATTCCAGTCGGGTGGTACTTGTCGGCAGAGGAGTAGGGGTAGTGCTACTGGGTTCAGGAGCGCTAGACTGAGTGGTGGGGAACGAAGCAGAGGGGTTTCCAAATCGAACAGCAGAAGATGTATTTGGCGGCAGGTTAATTACCTTCTGCCTCGGGATGGGGTCTAAGCTCTCTTGATGTTTTGCACTTTGAGATTCAGGAAAAATCGTATAAAATTCATTGTTTAAATGCTTGGCCACATGGTTCAGGTGTTCAGATTCCTGATGAAAAACAGATTCTCGCAAAGCAGTGGTATGATTCTGATGGCTAGTCTGACCATGAGAAATAAAGGCTCCGGCATCTGAAGACAAAGAATACTCATTTGAAGAAAAGTCCTCACTTTTGAAGGATGTATCCTCCAGGACATGGGTGTCTGGAAACAGAAAGGAAATATCAGTATTTAATTATTAAATCTATTTTTGACTACCACAGGCTTACTCTAACAATTTGTACTTCTTAGTAAGAGAGATATAAAGGGGGCTCCAGAAAATAATGACTAATGCAACTGAGTCATCAAGATCTTCCTGTCCTTAAAATATGGTGAGTGACTTTTAAATTCTGTGTCATAAGACCTGTCATAGAATCACAGAACAGTTTGGGTTGGAAGGGACCTTAAAAGCTCATCTAGTTCCAACCCCCCTGCCATGGGCAGGGACACCCTCCACTAGACCACGTTGCCCCCAGCCCCATCCAACCTGGCCTTGAAGACTTCCAGGGAGGGGGCATCCACAACTTCTCTGGGCAACCTGGTCCAGTGCCTCACCACCCTCACAGTCAAGAATTTCTTCCTAATACCTAATCCAAATCCACCGTCTTTTAGTTTAAACCCATTACCCCTGGTATCCTATCACTCCATGCCCTTGTAAACAGTCCCTCTCCAGCTTTCCTGTAGGCCCCTTTAGGTACTGGAAGGCTGCAATTAGGTCTCCCCAGAGCCTTCTCTTCTCCAGGCTGAACAACTTGTCAGTCTCAAGCCTGGGCACACCAGACCCTGTCTGCCGATTCTTACGGAATTCGCCTGTGCAGAGCAAGTGTCCCAATGTGATTGTTTTACACTTGTATTGCATGCATGTAAGTGTTGTATTTAGCAGTGCCATGCAGAGGGAGTAGGCCCATTGCCTCTCACCATTTTCAGCCTCTGCCAGATAAGAAGTAGATATTACCAACCACACTTTCATTTGTCAGATGTACACATTTCTGCCTAGCCAAGATGATTATATACTCCCCTTTTTTTGCAATATCCAAGCACCCTGTGATTGATTGATAGATACAATTCAATTCACATACAAAAATTGTCTTATGAAACAAGGTGGCAATAACATTCCCATTTTATAAGCATACTGATTTGTAGGAAAGACCTGAGCTCCTACTGCCATGCTAGAAGAAAGACACTGCTCCAAGAGTTTCTGAGGTATTTGCAGTAAAGGCCTCCACAATAAGCAGACTGCTCTTGATCATTTCTCCAGAAGTCAGTATGTATTGCTTGCGAACTAGGTAGGTGAATGTTATGTAATAGAATTTGGAAGCAGGGCAACAGCATTATGTGACCAAAATTCCATATGATCAATAATCCAAACAGCTACCTGATTCTACACAGGTATTATAGAGAGACTTTGGGTGAGCATGAGCTCTTGGGAAGACTGGCTGCTATCATTCAGATTTCATATATATATGTGTGTGTGTATATATAAATATGCAAACATCGTTATCACTCAGTTGCTGCACAGAACATTTAAAAGGGAACATCCTCTCAAGTAGTTCTGACCCTCAATCATCTCATTTTTTTATAGAAACAAAGAGGTTTGTTAACTGCACTGGAATTGAAATAAATCATAGAATCATAGAATGGTTTGGGTTAGAAGGGACCTCAAAGCTCATCTAGTTCCTACCCCCCTGCCATGGGCAGGGACACCCTCCACTAGACCAGGTTGCCCAAAGCTCCATCCAACCTGGCCTTGAACACTTCCAGGGAGGGGGCATCCACAACTTCTCTGGGCAACCTGCTCCAGTACCTCACCACCCTCACAGTAAAGAATTTCTTCCTAATATCTAATGCAAATCTACCCTCTTTTAGCTTAAACCCATTACCCCTTGTCCTGTCACTAGATGCCCTTGTAAACAGTCCCTCTCCAGCTTTGCTGCAGGCCCCTTTAGGTACTGGAAGGCTAAAAACCAAATTGTCCGTGACATTTTCATTGTCACTTTTTTCTCAAGTAGAAACTCTTTGTCTAGAGGAATAGATTTTTTCCAGTTTTATTATACATGCAAAGAAGCCTACTTGGCTGCTGTTTTAATATATATTTCCAAGCCTTAAGACTCAAAAAAAAAAAAAAAAAAAAAAACATGCAAAAAAGTAAAAAAACAAAACACAAACCCAGCAAACCAAAAACCTGGCAATGTTTTAAACAAGAGCACAGCAAACACTTCACTTGCATCGTAGACACCAATTTTTATCCTAACCTTCCAGTCAGGCACAAGCTTGTTAGCAAACGGACTCTAACCACAAGGACTGACTTAGAGAAAAGCCATATTCTGTTTTTAGATAGTGGCTTTAAATAATGAAACGTTCAGTTATTAGAGAATCAGAAACTGTATAGTCAAAGACATCCAAACTCTCAGCTGCTTCTGCAGCTCTGGACACATTTCCATACCAGCAAGGAAATGGCCCATCACCACCACGGAGTCAGTCCCCAGCTCACTTTTTCCCTGTTCCTGATGCACTCCCACGGACGCTTCCCCCTGCCCCTGTGCATAAACAGCGGATGTAGTGTGGCAGCTACAAAGCACTTGCAGCATGCTATGTCATCTTCAGTTCGCTCGCCTGGGCAACAGCTAGAGAAGCACAGAGCATGCACGCAGCGGCCAAAGTCACGTAGCGCTCCCTCCGCCCGTCCAAGTCCCATATGGGAGTTAAGTATCACTGCAGCACTCGGATTAATTAATTGCCTGCACTAACTCTACTCCACATTTTCACCATCAAACATTGATTTGATAGCATTCTTTGTCTCCATTTCAGACTACAAGCTCCCAAATGGGACTGCCCTAAACCGTCACGTGCGAGGTACAGCTGGGGTATGAGGACAGATATGCTTGCTTGTAAGAAAGAACAAGGGCACTACCCAAGTCAACTACTAAAATGAGATTAAAAACTCAAAGTGGTCCTGCTGATATCTCAAATCCAATAAGCTGCACTAGATACCAAACTTCAGGGTTGTAACTCTTAAAAACAAACTAAGCACCTCCTGAGCATACTCAGCTAGAACCCGCTGGTATCTTAGTGGGGTGAAGGCAGCAAACACCAAACTAGTACATGAAGAGCAGTAATCATAAATGTTACTTCTTTTCAGCAATAGCTCTTTGCGACTGGGACCAGGAAATGCTTTACTTCCCAAGCCATATGTTGTTCCATTAGTTACCAAGCCACAAGAATAGTTTAAAAAAGACAAAGACAATCTCATTATTACCTTAGCCTCAGTAATTTAAGTTGCTTTATTAGCAATAGAGTATCTTTCCTCCTTTTAGTTTGGTTTTCAGTGTAACCACATGCAGACTCTAATATGAAAAAACAGAGCTTGAAATGTTTATCAGTACCAACACCACTCAGGTGCTACCTTTGAAAGCTTATTAGGAACATCAGGTAAATAAGGTAGCATAATCTTTCCATAATTCAATGTTCATAGAAGCTAAAAAAATGCAAAATGAAAAATTGATGGTATATGCAATCATGCTTTTAACTGAGCATTACTATAGGCAGGATGAAAGCAGGAGCATGACTACATCTCTTGTTTCTTTGTTTGCATCCCTTATATTCTTGTAGGGGAGAAAGAGCTGGAGAAAAAAGTAGTTGTAATGACAATTTTACAGGCATGCAATTCATTTGCTGCACACGGCTTTTGCCCAATTCCTGTGTGATTGTGCTTGCATGAAAATATTTGGTAACATTATGTGAATAATGTCTCTGCATATCCGGCTGTCACTCCTTGCATAGTTCCTCTTGGAAAAGTTCTATTTCCAGACACTGAAATTTTGCTGAGAAAGAGAAAATTTCTGCTCTCTCAAGCAGCCACACTGAAACCAGCTTGTGAACTCTTGGCAGGAGGACAGTCTAATAATCAGTTTCTTATCTGGGCCGTTCAAACAGGTCTGGTGCAAGTCAACGTCAGTCAGCAATGAAGACTTGCTATTAAAAATCCAACAGCACATGACAGCGAGAAATTTCTGAGTGTGCAACCCATATGCCAGAAAGCCTTGAGCTTAGTCTGTTTGCATCTGTGCTTCAGGTTTCCTAACTGAAAGCAGAAAATAATGATTACTATTGCCAATTACTTGGTAACATCACAGCAGTGCTCCGAGGCTTGCCCAACATTTGCTCAGTGTTTCTGCTTGTGTGTATATGGTATTCATCAGTGTAGCACGGATCCTTTGCACACACAGACGGCGATAAGGGCATCGTATTTCCATTGCTTTCTGCGATACTCTTCAGCATTACATAAGGAAATTTTCCTTCTTGAATATTTCAAGATGGAAGCAACTTCTTTTTCTTTTAAGCGAGGGAAAATTACGAGGAGTTCCGAATCTAATGTGAAGGAATGTCATAAGGGTCGAGATGTTATTCCAACCGGGACGCTGGGCCCACACAGGAGCTCACCACACACATGTCTGTCCAACTCCAACAAAGCAAAAAAGCAGCATTTTCAGATTACAAAGCTTGGCTCAGAACATTTTATTAAAAACGCAACGCCCAAACATTTTCTGGTCACTACTGAAAACTCACAGGTGCAAAAGTGAGTCCCAGGAGGGACTGGTGCCTCTTACTATTATTTACCTCTAGTTATCTTGTAGCTCACAAATCCTGTCGCAGGTTTCATTGGACAAGCCTCTGTACTAGGGCAGTAAAACAGGTAGCAGTTTGGATGCGCGCTTGTCCTTCGAGTATCAAAAATCATCAAGTTACACTTCTTGTCTCCTGCAAAGCATGATACATACATATTTCAGCAATAAGAACTTTTATACCATCTTGATAATAAGTTCTGGTCTGTAAATTAGTTTTTCCTCCTGTGAGTAAGAGGAAAACTACTAACATATAACATTCCTACAGCAAAAACAACCCCGGCCTGCAAAACAATGGCCTAGGGCCAATATACAAAAGGTCACACCTTCCGCTTCCTGTACAGATGAAATTGGGTAAATAATGACTCTAACCCCTCATCCTCTCCTCGCCCATACCACACTGGCACCACTCAATATAACAATGTCTCACTTACAAATCCTGATAAATCTGAAAACCTCCTTGATATACTCATGGGGAAGGAAAAGATTTATACACTTTTCCCAATCACATTCCAGGAATCGCTTGGGTTGTTACTGCTTGGGGGGTCACCTTTAACACTGTCATTTCTACTTGCTGCTCTACCTCCTACTGCTCCAAGAGCTCAATTCAAACCAGCCGTCTCAGAGAAGGGTAAGCACCCTCATTTTTGGGTAAAATTAAACGTAGCACAAAATGTCAGTTACTTTATAGCACATCTGTTAAATACGGCTTATGCATCTTGGAGTTTGGGGATCTGAGAGGTTTTAACATTTAAAACTACCACTGTTTCTTTGCTGCAACTATTTTCCTGAACAGTCAGGGGTCTTGCATTGAGTTCTAACATCACGCTTAGCAAAACAGGATAGCAGCCATAAGCTGTTACTAGTCGCAGCGTGAATGAAAGGATAAGTTAATGCTTCCGTGCTGAATACTGAGAACCCCCTTGTCCCAGACAACTTGAGAAGTAATTTCCCAAGTGTACTAACAAGTACTAACAGAAAAGAGGGAAGAGGAGCCGGTTACCTGAGAGCTTTTCCCCCGAGCAGCAAGCGCGAACGCAAGCTTCTGGGCTTGAGGTGTACACTGGCTCTGCGCCCCTGATGCCTTTGGGCAGAGATAAGTTTATATCGATGATGGTATTTTCCATTTTCTCCGCGGAGCACTCTTGGCTCAGGGATGGTCCAGGCATCACGCAGGTGATCACCAGCAAGCAAACCCGCCACCGGCTGCTGCCGGGAGACATGGCCACTCCGATGGGACCTTCGCACGGTTGGGGTGACACCAGCCTTGGGTACCGGTACCACAGACGTACCGGACCCTGCTCGCCCAGGACCCGAATTCGCGGCGAGCTTCCCGAAGCGCTGG